TCTGCCAGAGGGTCCTGCTGCATAGCAGCAATGAGAGTTCTCAACTCTTGGACATAGTCCGACAATTCTTTCTTACCTTGTCGGGTAGCTTAGAAGCGTGAGCGCACACGATAAGCCTGATTAGGCGGTGCAAACACACAAGTTAATTGCTTTTTAAGCATTTCCCATGTGGGGAATGCGGCATTTACAGAGACATCGCTCGTTAGAGCCCACTCTCTAGCTCTTCCACCGAGCTTCGAAATGGCCAAGCCAACTCGTTGCTTATCTGATACAAGCATGGCTGCATCCATTGCCATTTCAACTTCTCGGATCCAGAGGAGAAGATTTTCTCCCCCTTCCCCTCAAAGATCTTTACGTTCAAAACGAGTGAGCAAGCTTTTGGCTTTGAGTCTTTAAAGACTGACCCTCTGTGAGGATGGAGAATTAAAACCACCTCTTTAAGGCGCAACGACTCGCACTAGATAAATTATCTGCGTTCGTCGGGCCCGATAAAATCGAGGCCCTTTTGGCCCAAGGCCCGGAGGTTTAAAAATCCTTGAGGTCTTTATGCGTTATGAGGCAACGCTACTCGGGCAGGTCCATGAACAGGCAGCGTCAGCTGCGCCTACACAGTACATCCCGGTAGCTGTGCCCGATGCAGGTTTAGGATTGACTACAAGTGCTAACAAGTGTAGCGGAGCTGCACAACACTTTAGCCGGAGGAAGACTTTTTGGCTGAAAGCGTCTTAGTTTTATAGAAGTAAATAGAGTTAAGGCTAAAAGCCACTTAGTTCTAAGGAACTAATTCAACGACTTAAAGTCACCCTGTTCTAAGGAACGAGGAAAGAGACTTTTAGTCAGTCAAGCAATAAGCTTAAGGTTCAGAGAACCAACGCACAGAGTGCAAGAACAATCTAGAAGCTTAAAGGTTCAGACAACCAACGCACGAAGTGCACAAGAGAACAAGTCAGAACGACTTGCGATGTTAAACTCAAAATGAGAACTGATTTTATTGATGCATTGAGATATTATAAATAGTCCTACTCTAAGTACACTATACTAGATTAATTACTATAATAGTAATTATAATATGCAGACTTTGCTATTGGACGACGTATCGTCTAAACATCTGTGTATGATGTACTTAGTACAGCGTTCGATAGGATACGGTATTACCGAATACCGTATCTTTAACGCTTATACTTAATACCTATATAAAGAGAAGTATTAAAACACATTAAATCTATCTATATCTTCTATATAATAAAAGAATTGTGTCCGTCCGTCTGTCCGTCCGTCCGTCCGTAGTGCTCCTTTTTCGCCATTCGGATTGGCTACTTTTGCATAATTCGCTAATTTTGGATTGGCTGATTTTGCATATTAATACGAGCAGGTCAGTACACGGGCTCAAGTTGCATCAAATAGATGTTTGACACATCAAAGATAACCAACTTATACGGATAACGTATGATGTCATGCAATAAATTTGTCGGACATCTATATTTAAAAATAGATAGCATGACTATAATCTATATTTTAAGATCATAACAATAAAATTCCGTTTGTCGTGTAACACAATGAAATGAAATTTACGGAACGACGGGAACACGTTCACCTTCATACCCATAGTTTAATTTATATGACTGAATATACAAAAAAAATCTTAAGGCATAATTTGGTTAATGTGTCCGTCGGAACGACGGGTACATATTGACTTTCGAAACGACAGGTACACATTGACCAGCGTCGGCAGGTAGACCTTGCCTTTCATACTTATTGACTTTATATGTAGCGATTACCAGACTCAACCACTCTAATAAGTGGGTACGAAGATAATCTAGCAGATGTTTGCTCACCATGCCCGTCGGAACGACGAGTGAGCATCCCTATTTTACGATATATGATGGGGCAGGGTACTATCAGCGTAGAATCGCGCCCCTATCCGACGGAACAATGGGCACTACCAAAAGCTGTACGCAGGCAAAAAGTTGTATTAAAAGTTGATTGACACACATAAATATAATTACATACGGTCCTTTACACACAATTAAATCTATATATTCGGTACGCACGCTACTATCCGTCGGAAGGACGGGTGCACATTGGATCTCATACCCATCACTTTACTTTAATATTGTTAAGTAAAATGTTGGGCTCGCAGGTTAAAAGGTAAACTTTAGTTTTCATGTCCGTTGGAACGACGAGTACACATTCACCTTTATATCATCAATTTTATGTAGTCAACCAAACTGGTAAAACGATGATGTAAAGGTCAATATATTATAAGCGTCGACTATCGCACTATATCCGTCGGAATGACGGGTATACATCCTAGCAAATCGCGGCGTTTAACACGCCAATATATCCTACTTTGCACCGTCCGAACGACGGGTGAACACCATAAAAGAGGTGGGTCGATGGAACATGGTGCAATTGTCTATCGATTCACTAGGGTGTAGGTTTCATCTAAAAATAAATGACTAGATATTAAAGCGTTTAAGATATTCGTCAGTTTGTACCCGATGGAACGACGGGTTTACATTGGGCTGAATACACATCGACTTTAATACCAATTATTTTACCTAATTCAACCTAATATTCTAAGTAGAGTGATAAGCTAGTATACTGTAGGGGTGTCCATCGGAATGACGGGTGAACACCCTTACTTTCGAAACGACAGGTATACATTGACCTATATACACCTTACCTTTAGAAATAATTAATTACTTAAGTCAATTTGCGATCAGCGTAAAATTTGTGCGCCTATCGGTCGAAACGACGGGAACACCCCTATATATGTATTAATAGCATAAAACCATGTCCGTCGAAACGACGGGTAAATACCCTCGTCTATATAATAAAAGAATACTGTCCGTCCGTCCGTTTGTCCGTTTGATCCTTTTCCGGCATTCGGATTGGCTACTTTTGCATTATCGCTAATTTTGGATTGGCTGATATTACATATTTGCCTCATTTTGCATTGGCAGATTTTGCATTTTTATGTTGATAATTACATGTGCGATCTCCATGTAAGAGTGTCCATATGTCGGCTTCTATCTATAACACTAATATACGAAACGATTGCCACATACGTGTTCATATTTGATATAAACACATAAAAATTAGATGAAAAACATGCTTTATAATCGTTTAATTTTTGGGCTCAGTGCTTGAATAATACACTAGAAAGTTGGCAAAAGCAAGCGTTCTCATCACTTTGTATTGGAGTTAGTTACAATAAGTGATGTGACACATATGTGTTGTATTTGCATTTTGTATATATTGTTACGTGAGCAGATTCCGTAAAAGAATTTAGTTCATCCCCGGGTGTCCTTATGTCGTGCTTCTATCTAAAAAATGTATATACGAAACGATGGCACACTTAAATGTTCATATGCATCATTTCATAGTGCAGTATCAAACATAGTTATTTTATAATAGTAGATGAGACACATGCTTTCGATTCGTTAGTCAAAACATGGGCTCCGTGCTCATATTTTACACTACAAAGTGGCAAAAGTAAGCGCAGTTAGCACGTTCAAGTGGATGCAGGTACAATAAGCAAATTGAGTCATATGTAATGCATCATACTTATTCATTTACCTGAGTCTTCTACAGTACGAAACGACGGGTTTACATTTACCTTTATACCGATAACTTTACCTTTTGAACCGGATATATAGAAGTAGAATGATGTGTACGAAGATCAAAATACAGACTTCGCTTATTGTGTCCGTCGGAACGACAGGTAATCAACAGAATATTCAAAAGTAAATTAATAGTTTAATGTACCGACCTTCATTAACTTATATACTAATCAGCTTACGTAAAGCAACCTAATATTTTAAGGAAAGTGACAAATACAAATACTGTCAGCGTAGAATTTTTGCACCTATCCGTCGGAGCGACGAGTCAACACCTACGTAAAGCAACCTGATATTCTGAGGAAAGTGATAAATTTAAATACTGGCAGCGTAGAATTTTTGCACCTATCCATCGAAACGACGGGTGAACACCATTACTTATTTGCATCAACGTAAGCACATTTCTATCATTGTTATTTCAATTAGGAATTTTTATGTGGTCTAGCAATCTATTTCGTCGGACATCCATCTATAGAAATGGGTATCATGACCGAAATTTGTAAAGTAAAATCTAGGTAATAACTCCGTCCATCATGCTATAACAAGAAACAGAAAATTCACGGAACGCGTGTACACATTAAGCTTCATACCCATCACTTTATAGAGTCATCCTGAATATTCTAAATAATAGGTAATGGCTACGAACATTTACATGCACCATGTCCGTCGGAACAACGGATGAACACCCTGGTATGCAATAAAGAAAACTTTAACCGTAAACTTTCGGATAGATGTAACAACCGTCGTGTAATCCCGTTACAAAATATATACTTGGCTCTATTTCCTAAGGCACCCATGCGCAAGAGAACACTTCGACTGGTCCATCATCTGTTCTTAGCTCATCTTGTCGCTCTTCCTGACCGTTTTGCGTCGACCATACCCGCCATTACCATGTCCAGCGCTCTTATCCTGTAACCATTTTTGCCTTTGACTTACTTGTTAGAGCCGACTCTAACCTAACCACATCATTTTAATATCCGACGAGAATGTCAAGGGTACCTGTAAGCCTCCAATGTCAAAGTTTGAAGCTCCGTGAACTTGGATGATGGGGAGTGAGCAGCATATAAAACAGAGCTGACTAAAACATCCATACGGCATTCACATGGTCCAGTATGTTGATAGTAAAGTTACGTCAATACGATAAAGTACAGGTTGATCTTATAGAGGTGAATAGTCGAGATGATGAAATTTGAAATAAGAAGACTCGATTGACATATACTGATACACCTGAAGATATAGTGTTGATTGATTTTAAGTTTTACTTGTAATTAACATAACGGAAACAACACCGTCGCAATAATTATTGATCGAAACCTTCTTCAAAGAAGCGAATTCCGTAAATAATCCAGAGAACCAAGAAGTCGAGTTGATAGCAAAATGCCCAGCAACGAAGAGAATGTCGCACTCCATGCATCGAACCCCAACATCATTAGTACAAGTGCATTACCATCTCCATCTAGAGCACGTCTGCTCGCAACTGCTGGTTTTGGCAATGGTCCTACTGCCTCTAATGAAGCACATACCGGCCGACTGAATGTGTTCCATAGGGTTCAAGAAGCTTGTGAAGCTCGTAATTCGCCTCTATATATAGGGGCAATCTCGTTGGTTAATTTACCACAGATTATTGCTGCTGCTGTCATTTTAGCGTCATCATGGCAAAATGAGACGTTGTGCTTCCGGATTCAAGTGTGGGTTTTACTTCACACGATCCACTTAGCACTCACTTTGCTTCTCGCATGGATACTTTACTATTTAGATCTCGCACGCAGTATCAATGCGATTCGTCTTCGAGAGCAGTACATGACTATCTTGAGTCGAGTCAAGTTCGGACTTGATCTGGCTGGTACCTCTTCGTTCCTAGTGGGAAATAAGTTGGTCTTCAGTGACAGTGCTCGTTGTAATGACGGGTCTGCAATGTACCAATTGGCATTATGGATGGTCATCATTTCCTATGCCAAGCTTTTTCTGCCGTGTTTGCTGCTACTGGCGTTACTGCCGTTTCTCTACTTCTGTTTGCCTTGTGTCATTCGTCTTCTCAGCAGACTGCAGGACCTCATGAGAAGAGAAGTATTAACCCAAGAGGTGGGAACTGTACTTGTTTATTTTGCTTTTATTTCATACTGACGTTTTGTTTTTTACTTGATGTAGCTCATCGACCAGTTAGAGACCAAGACGTACACGAGTAACATGTTCCCGCCCGAAGATGCATGCTGCTGTATTTGCCTGGATACTTACAAAGCTTCACAGTCCTTGCGTGTGCTACCGTGCGCGCACCATTTTCACAAAGAATGCGTGGGCAAATGGCTTCTAGTGAATTCGACGTGCCCAACCTGCCGCAAATCCATGTTTGCGCAGGTTTAGGCGGTCTCATGGCAACAAGCGAGGAAGACATGCTGCAGCGTGTGTAATGACGAAGACTTTTTACCGCCGCTAGATATTCTCAGCTAATTGGTTAATGATTATGTAGACTTTTGATTACACGGTGACTGATGTAAGCTTCTACTTGCCAAAATAGCCCATTTTAAAAGATTTTGGCGTCATTTACAAAGCAATGAGATGCCAGTTCGTCATCGCCATAGCGTGCTTGCATTAACGCAATTGATGTACGTAGCAGGTACTCACCAGATTTTAATCAGTGTAGGTCTTTTGGGGCAGATATTACAACGACCACAGCACAGTCCGAAATATCGTATTCCTACCACCTTCTTTTGCATATGTTAAGACCAACGTCATTTTGCGTCTTATTAAAGCCATGACCATTGAGGAGAAATCCTACAACAGCGCCTCGGCAACAGCCTATTGATCTCGATCTACCCAAATATTGAAAATATGATGAGAACGTTGCTGTTTAATTAAAAAAATTAGAAAATGCTATCGATGACTTTACGTCAAAGCAAAGCCTTCAAAAGCAATATCACAAATACTAATTAATTTTAATAAAATAATTATTAAATTCAAGCCACTAATGCTTTGGTTTTATAGTCTTAGCAAAGAATTAAAAAAAAACTTTTTAGAGACGTAAACTTATTATGTGGTCGTAAACTAGACCATACTGTATGAATCAAGGAAGCACAAGGCCTGCAACTAATCTATTATTAATATACTAGGGTGCTTACCCGTTGTTTTGACGGTGCGAACAGTAACATATATACTGTAGGAATTTTTAGAAAACGCAGCGAGCTAATAGGGTGTTCATTCGTCTTTCCGACGGGTATGGTGCGCAAAGTTTACGCTGATAAAATATTAATCATCATTTAAATTATAAAAAATAGCTGTAGGAAAGTTGCGATTTGGAACTTTGTTGCACTTGTGTGCGAAGAGGTAGAAGTAGAAGTGAATATATAAAATGTTATCTTCGTTCGCTAACACTGCAATATAACATGCACTGCGACTTGACCATAATATGATTGCGTCCGTCTCTCCTCTTATCTTATGAGCCGTCGCCATGTCGCCCAACAGGTCATGTCGCTGCCTCTTCCCGCCACCTGCTCCGCACCGTCTAATCAAAACACCTGTTACGGCGTCTGTCACAGTCGTCGCCTTGTCTCACCATCTGTCACCGTCGTCACCTCTCCTTACCATCTGTCAAGTCGCTTGTGGACTCGACCAATCAAATGTTACTGTCACATGGCATAGCAGTTGAACCTGCAACACAACAATGACTGACAAGACGTTTGTAAACAGGCATATCTAACACTCCTCCTCGGTTTCAGCCTGAGTGGTCTTCAAACCGAAAATTTTACGTAGCTCTTCCATTCTTGGCGCCGGCAATGACTTCGCCAAAATGTCTGCTATCATGGCTTGGGACTTGACAAACCTTGTGGCCGCGATCCCATCTTTCGCGTAGTTGCTGATGAACTTAAACCTGATGTCCACTTGCTTAGCGCTTGACGTGCTCTTCTCCGACTCGATCTGTTTGATAGCCGCTTGGTTGTCCATCCACATTGGCATCGGCTTGATCACGTTCAACTACAATTCGTGTATAGTGCCTTCATCCCCAGTGGTTCGCGTCCGGCTTGAGACGCCGCGATAAACTCTGCCTCCATGGTGCTCAGCGACACACCAGACTACTTCTTGCACGACCAAAAAACAACAGAGCCATCCATTGTCAGAACATAACCAGATACAGACTTCCGGTCAGACATATCCGCCCCAAAGTCCGCGTCGCTCCAGCTTTTAATACGCATGTCCTTGGATGCCGATCCGTCACCGCCCAGATGTAGCTTCAGATCCTTCGACATCTTTAAGTAGCGCATGATCCCTTTGGCAGTCTTCCAATCCTTGACCGTCGGCTTGTGTGTTTGTCTCGTTGCTTTGTGCACCGCAAAACAAATGTCTGGCCGTGTGCACCTTGCGATGCATAGTAGACTTCCCACCATCGACTGAAAAGACTTCACGCTTGGGTCGTTCTTTGCACTCCCTTTTGGCAGAAAGTCTTGAGCATCCTCATCCTCGAGATTGCATTCGTCGCCTATCGGAGTCCTCACTCCGTTCGCCGAGTCCAGTCCGAACTCCTTCAACACCAACTCGATCGTCACTTGTTGGTCCAGAATGTACCCCTTGGACTCGTCCAGTTTGATGCGAAGTTCCAAAATCTTGTTCACCACGCCCAGATGCTTGATTGACAGACACGCCATGTCCGTGAAGAAGTTGTCCACTGCGCTTGACTTAGTCCCTGTGACGAGCAGATCGTCGACGTAGACTCCGACCACCGTGCATGTATTTCCTTTGTACTTGAAGTACACGTCGTTGATTGTCGAAACCCGCTCTGTTGCAGCTTCAAATTCAATAATTTGCTCCAGAGTCTTCCAGCCTGCTTGAGTCCGTACAGCGATTTCTTTAACAGCAGCGTTAAGTCGTTCGTCGATCTTGATTCCAGACCCTTGAGCTTTTCTCCGTCCAAGGTCACACCTCTAAGCACCTTCATGTAGATGTCCAGGTGCTCCTCCTTTTCTGCTTTGACGTAAGCATTCGGCACATCACCGTGTCGAGTTGGTACCTTCCAGCGTCTTGATAGCATCAGGATCATTTTCACCGTTCTTAAGTCCATCACCGCTGCCAAAGTAAATTTGTAGTCGACTCCAAAAACTTGTTCGTTTTCGCAGACGACCAGACGAGCCTTAAATCGCTCTATGTCCCCGTTCGCATCCGTCTTGGTCTTGTACACCCACTTGTTGTGGAGCACGTGCGCATTCTTGGGTGGTGCAACGACCGTCCAGACATCGTTCGCCTGCAACGCGTCCCCGTCTTTGGTCATGGCGATCTTCCACTCTTGTTTATGCTTGCTATTGATCGCTTCTTCGTAGTGCTTGGGGTCTTGTGCTAAAACAGCATTGACGACGTCCCTAAATCCAGATGTATCTTCGCTTGATACCTCTTCAATTTTCCTTCTGTTCGTTGATCTTGTACCATGGCGCTCCCTCGTCCATTCGAGCTTGCGATGCTTCACAGTACGTTGCTTGACGCGACATTGTATCTGAGTGTTCGGTTGATGTCAACTCCTCCTGACGGCAAATTTTATCTTGATCCGATATAAGGTGATTATCGGTTGTCAACGATTCAATATTTTGAATATGTTGAGTCACCAAGACCACCTTGTCCTTAGAGATGTAATCTTTGTCATGCTAAACATTTTTATAAAGCATTTATTATGTACATTATTTTTATAACGCTAAATTCTTCTACCTGACGTATGCTCGCAATATTTATTCGCGCTCGTTGTCGTTTTTCTTATCACTATCTTCACCGCCAAAAGAAACTGCGGCGTACGAACAGATTGAGCACGAGAGAATTTTGACGTTAATGAACCCGATGAATAGAAACGAAAAAAGGTCAATCGACCTAGTCACCGCAGACCTTCTCTTCATTCTTTTCATACGAGAAATCGATCAGTTTTATCTCTATCATTCACAAAAAAGGTTATCAATGGTGAGGCTATTATATGCATTCGTCGGTGAAGCAGGATGTGTGTACAGGGTTAACATCCGAACCAGCCAGTCATTTAATGACTTGAAGTGCAAAATTAAAGAGGAGAACCCTCTTCAGGTCACGTGCAACGCGGCTGACCTACGGCTCTTCCTGGCGAAGAGAGGCAACGCGTGGGTGACAGCTCATCGAGGAGTGAATGACACCAGTGACCTGATGCCGCTATATGTTGTAAATGCGCCACTTAGCTTTTTTGGCTTGTCAGGAAGAGCCATGCGGACCAATGTTACGACGGAAGATGCTAACGATAGAAGCACCCATATGCACGTCCTGGTAGTGGTCCCCAGTGACCCAACATTATTGAGGTTAAAGCGTGCGTAGCATCCACCGTTTCCTATTTTTTTGAAAGTGACTGCTAATTTCTTACATTTGTTACTGATACAGAACAAAGAGAATGGGTAGTCAACGCAAAGTGTTACGTTGTTTATGTAATATTTGGACTAAGCATCCTGGCTATAGCCTTTAAAGAAAACCCAATTGAAGAAAAAGCTTGTTGGGGGACTTATGGCCAATCTATCACGCGTGGGCTATTGCTGTCAACATGATGCTTTTAGTAGTTATACAGAAACTGTTGCCGACGTTAAATCATACTATGATGACAAAATTGAAATGCTCGAGTCAACAAGTGCAAACAGACTCATTCAAACAGACAAGTCAATAGCAGCAACCGCCAGGCAATAAGCGTCAGTGCAGCAAAAAAATGTATCGCAAAACAAAAAGACAAATGGTACTACTTTTCCCATTCGATAAACAGATTGATTTAAAGCATGTTCAGTCGTCCTCTGCAAAGATATGATGCGCAGTGTTGTAGCTGGTATAGACGGGCACTTCTTCGAAGTTGCCTCATGCTACTAGCACACAAGCGAGGAAGCGGTTAGACCGTCTTACCTTCGCGTGCGAGGGTGGTTGGGAGGTTGGTCGACTGCTTACGCAGTCGTACCACCAGTTGCCTCTCGCTTAAGCGAGAGTGCAACGAGCTTCTTAACACTTAGAACACCGACGTCACGCAGAAGTCTTTCAACTTCTCGTGCGTGGTGTTTCTGTTTAACCAAATTCAAGACTATGCTATATTTATTTAATTATAACTAAATATATACTTAACTACTGATTGGAAAATATATATATATATATGTATATATAAATCGGATACGCGACTCTTTAGAAGCGTATCCTGTCGCATGATCTGAAATCTAGATATAAGATTGCGAATGACGTCCTTCTGAGACGTCGCGATGCCTAGCTTCAACTAGCTTCATCCCTTCTTATGTGAATCCATCAATGGATATCACATTCACGAGGGTGGACCACATTTGTGTATCGCACCCAAGTGACAGGTCAAAAGTAATCATGGATACTTTTAGACCAAACATTAAGTGTGTTACTTAATGTTTACGTGTAACTAGATACCCTGTTACACCATCCC